AAAAACTTTGCAACCAACGCCATGATCATAGAAGAAAAATTACAGACGACTAAGATGATCATTTTCTCGTGAAAGAGATAGAGGTATTTCAGATTCATACTAAAAATAAATTGGACGAAAGAATGTTCATAATACACATTCGTCAGACACTGCTCTATATCCGTCCTAAATACCGATCACAATTACAATCAGAAAGCAATAAAGTAATTTCGAAACTAGTTTTTGGTTTTGGCGACCCTTCGTCTTCGCTGCCTTGGTTCAGCGTTTTCTTTCTGCTCATCGTCCTTTCTTCTCCTATTAGTCGCTGCCTTTTCACATGGTACTTCCTTGTCGCACTGACTTGAGTTATTGTTGTTTTTTGCAGCAGAACAACTTGTTGAAGCCGACGCATTCGAAGCACCGAGGAGCATACTACGCAGGGTTGCGTTCTCCTGAAAATCAGATCATTCACACAACTTTCGTGAACTCAGGCGTTCCAACTCTCTACGTCGCATATCTATATAAAGTCGATTACACAGCTAGGTTGAAATGTAAGCCAGAAGTTTGATGCAGATGCATGAACAATAATATCTTTCCGAACATCTTCCACTGAGCAGAAATAAATAAGTACAAAATACATCTCAATGAAACTGCCTAAAAAAATTTTCCGATTAGTTTGATCAGTATGAAATGGATGCAAAATGCAACATACCTCCAAAAGTCTGTGTTTTTCATCTTCCAATTCCGACCACCTTTGTCGATAACGCGACAAAACATTGATTTTATGCTTTGTTTTTGGGTCTCTCATCACTGCGTCCACATCCCGCGCAAGCGATTCATTCTCCTCCTTTAACTTGACTATTTCCTAAAATATGAAACAATTTGATCACCGGAAAAAAAGAATGATTGAAGAACTCCCGCGACAGACGAAGAATAATGGAAGACGAAGTTAGTACCTGACTGGCAGTCTCCTTATACGCAACAAGCTTGTCACGTTCCTCGGCCAAAGTCTCCAACTGTTCCTTCATTACGTGGATACCATCTCCAATGCAGTTCAATCGTCCAATTGCATCACCAAATGTCGAGCGTCTGCGCTTACTTGGTGCGATATCCATATCAACGTTCATCTGAAAATGTGCATCCTTCGAATTATTTCTCAACGAATAAGCAGGTCGAGTCTGGTTGAACTGGTTCCAAATATGTTCACATAGTTCAGATATAATGTTGCTAGTCAGTTAAGAATGGAATGAATACCAATGCTTCTGAAAGCGCCGCGAATTCCCTTTCTGCTTTTTCCACTTTCTTGTTTGCTTCTTCAATGAGACGCTCGGTGATCTTCCTTTCTTCGTCCCTTTCCGCGCTTAGCCTTGAGATCTGAAAAACGCGTGAGCTCATTCACATCATTCTCTCAACTTGATCGTTAAACTCAAAACGAAAATAAATGATCAGGTTCATATGAATGAACACATCAACCTGTGTTTCCAGCTCATCAATTTTGTTATCTTTTCGTTGAATAGCTTCAGCGTTGTCGAAAATGGCCGCAGTAGATCGCTTCAACTCTTCATCCAACAATTTGCACTGTTCCTTCGAATCAGACAACTGTTTCCTGCATTCGATCAGAGCTTGCTGAGTTTTGGCAGCATCATTCTGGAATTATCGTCCATTATTTGTGATATCACAAATACTCAATCAATTCTCCACATAATAAAAAGAAAATGGTTTTGCAACGCCATCTGAGCGCATGACCCTCGTTTTTTTAAATATAATCATTTAACCACCACTACATTCTTAATACAACGGATACATAATTCAATTCAGATAGAACGTGCTGAAAGGTCACCATTATCTGTTGTTTCTCAAGTCTGAGAGCGTCGAGTTCCAGTGTGATGTCAACTTTCCCTTCTTCTAACTCTGCGTTCTTCTGCAAAAATAACTCTATAATTGGAACAGTTTCCACGACAGTAATACGGTGAACGATTCCTAAAGATTATGTGATCAATTATTCACTTCAGCCTTGATTCTCTACTCTGTCCAAGAGAGCATGAAACATCAAAAGTATTGAACAGAAGTGGAATATCAATAAATTCTATTATACTTGATGAAGGGTTCACCGTAACCTGAGAGCAAACAGTTGATGATTACATCGAAGTGAAAATAAAAGCAGTGAAATGTTTCTCCTAATTCACAAAAATAACAAAATCATAAAGTGAAACAACTACTCTGTCAAGATCGTCCTTGCACGCCGCAGAAGCTTCGAGATGAATGGTTAGTTCCCGAATACGCTCATCGCGTTCATACACGGCACGGATTTTATGTTTCAGTTCCATGTTCAATCCACGTTCCTAACAACAACAGTGTAATTATTCAAAGCAGGTCGACAGAACGAATAAGCCTTAACAGCAGTGCGACGATATCACACCACCAAAAAATGGTTTCGTCATATATAAAAAGTTTCACGCATGATATAATAAGAACACTGATGATTCTAGCACAACCTTTGCTAAAAGTTTGTCTCTTTCGTCCACCAATTCGTCGTTACGCTCTTTNATCTTGATCAATTCACTGCATATCTGATCATTCTCCGGCTGAAGCTTCGCAATTCGCTCTCGCAGATGTGCAACCTCAGTTGTTAGTGTGCTCTTCTCAGCTTCCAACGACTCGATTCTTGTCGAGAATGCAATCAACTTTTCATTTTCTTCCCTTTCATACCTTAAATGCGTCATTTTACCCTATCAAAATGTACCAATAATTCGAAATCATTATGAACATCATCCATATTCATCAGCATGGACCATCAATGTATGTTCAACATATGTAAGAATACTATAAAGCGTTTCTTTCAACAGGATAAAGTCAAATGAATGATTGAGCCCATATGTATATAAGTAGAATTGGATAGGCAGAATGAAACGTAAACACCGAATACACTATTAAAAATCGAAACATCGACGTTTAAAAGAAACCGTCTGATTATTTCATCACGATCATGCAGCTGTTGTTCGAGCTGATTTGCATAGATATCAGCCTTCAAGTTAGCTGTTTGCTCAGAACGTAACTGATCGGTCAAATCCTACAATTTATATAGATGATATGGCCAATAATAATCATATTAAAGCAATATTACACAGTACGTAATATATTACGTAACACATATTACATCTTAAAATAAAATTGTTATACTTAACTGAATACCCTTAATATTCAATAAATGATAATAACCCTCCAATTATATTTTGAAATTTTAAATACCTCGATAACAGACTGATTTTCGACATCTTCGGACGGCTCGAAAAGGTCATCTCGGATAGACAAATCATCGGGCGAAACATCCACGAGAGGTCGCTGAACAGATCTGATTGGAGTGAGCGTAAACCTGGTCATACGACGTTGACGACGTGCACGCGCCATCGACTTCCGATCCAATTTGGTGACGGCAATTGGCGATCCAGGAGGTGATGTCTATCAGCAATATTCGATCGTTAGATGGATAATGCAAATACTAGTCACAGAATTTACTCATTACTTTGAAAAATTAGTTGAGATCAGGGTTTTTTTGTTGTGATTATCAATAGAATTAATGGTAGTTCACAACTGGATACAACAACAACTGTTCGAAAAATTATTCCTCAGCGAAAAACTCCAAACCCAAACTCCCCACCCAGTGCAATCTTTGAAAACACCTTGATCAATTAATCAATGAATTAGCCTTTAATGAAATAGACTGAAAATGAAGAAAAGTCGAACCAATATGCTCAGACGTCGTTCAACGTCGTCAAACTGGTTACGTATCTGCGAGTTCCCTCGTTTGTAGCGCTCAATCTCTTCCTCCAAACGCTCTACCTTTTGCTGCAATCTCTGACTCTCCTCTTCCGCCTGAAAACAAAATATTATTATTTTTGCCTAAGGCACACACGTCTGATCCATTTCACTGCAATTTTGGCCAACTAAATTAACCTTTATTCGATTGGTATAGAAAACAAGATGAAGAAACCGTTTTTATTTTGTCAAAAACAGAAAAACTATTTCGTGATGAGGTATTGAGAATTAAAAGAACAAACTTTCAATGCCCTCTCTTTCCATTGATAAACATCCAAATCAGAGCGCAAATCCTCCTTTCTGTAGTCCTTGACAATTTCGTCAAATTCCGCCTGCCATCTTTTCTGAATTTTGAAACATAACGAAGACCGAAATTAACTCAATTGCTTACTCCTAATGAGCACTTGGTAAATGCGATGTAAACTAATATGAATATGAATAACTGTTGATAAGAACGAATGAACTAAACATAAACATGAAACTAACAATCGCATCTTTCGTTTCTTGTGAAGCGCTGCTTTCGTGGAAAATGCGTATCGAGAAATCACGCATACTTAGCTGCCCTTTACATTGGTTTAATTCAGTATCTTTTTCATGTGCCACTTCTTCCCAACTTTTTGCTTTATTTTCCCACAACGATATTTCATCCTTAATAAGCATCAATATCATGATATATTATTCACGAATATAGCATTTCTCTCATTTGCTTTTTTTCAGAAAGGATATTCGATGATCAATATAAGTTCGAAAATATGGTCAGATGCTCGAAAATTAGTGCCGTTTAGACGTTCATTCCGAGGCTTCTTTTTCTGGTTGATTTCGAACATTTGAATACATTTTTTCACAAAAAAATTTCAGTGACGGTACTTTGCTATTTACTGAACGATGTTATAAACGTATACACATCAACCCCTCAAACATAAAAAGAATATCTACCTTTAGACGAGCGATATCCTCTTCGTTGACCTCAGGCTGATCTGAAAGAAAAACAACAAGTTCAACAATCTTCAAATAACAATTGGAAACGTTTCATTCTNCGAGGCATTCTTAAATCAATCTTTCTGATTTCGTATAATGCACGCAAAACGTTGTTCATAACCTCCAGTTGTATTTATCGCATTATAATAAATATTATTATTCATACAGACGCATTCCAAGAAAGTAACCATTACTGGAATTTGCAACGAAATTTTGAACAAAGATTCGAAGTTTTTTTTAAGAAAATTTCACGCAACACATCCATTTTCTTGATCTAATTGGTTGAAAAAGAGAAGAAAATGCGAGAGAAACGAACGTCTTAATTGGTCTTTGAGTCGGATAATTTCAGCCTTGAGTGCGTCCACATTCTCGCCGGATAGGTCTTCGTTAACGGCCGCTTCATTCTTCACCTTCTTGACATCCTGTGCGAAACGAAGTGACGAAATTGTCTCTTCAACGAATCTGAACACAATCACCTTCGCATTATCACGTATCGTCAATGAAGTACAACAAAAACAGAGATTATTCACTGAGTCAATAATCATCATTTTTCTTCTTTTACTTTGTTCTGCTTTAAGCAATAGGTTCAAAGAAAGGGAAGACGAAATGGATGAAATCAACCTCTTGTTCGGATGGACAGTGACGATGAATGCAGTTCGAGCATTGCCACCGAGTGAATCTTTCAGCAAATATGTTAGACCAGAGTCACGGTACGGGACGTACGTACCCTTTTTATAGCCCGGATCTGCTAATTCACGGATCACACGACCCAAAATTAACAAGGAACCATTTATCGAACATGCTTCCTGGAATAATATCACATGTATTTTGACCTACTTATCATCTAATGCATCAATTGTTATCAAATGCCTAATTTTGATGTGTTATTATATGGAAATGATGAAATTGTTGAATTTATAAGAGTATACAAATCAAAGAGTAGTATAAGAAGTTGAACTGATGAAGTTGCATCTCTAACCTTAACACGAGCCTTCGAATTTGTTTCAGCATCCC